TGTAGTCTGCAAGCTCGGAACAGACTTCCAGCAGGCGGCACAGACCCCTGATCTCCACCAGGCGCTCGGCCCACTCCAGAGCGGTGTAATGAACATTCCTGGTGATCAGCTCAATGACGCCATCCCTAGCCGCTCCGGAAATCGTACGATCAGTGATACTATAAACCAGGCAGGTGAGCAAAGTGTCTATTTCGCGGTTGTTTTTGGAGCAAAGTTCCTTGTCCGGCTTGGAATCCATTTTGTTCTTCAGTCCAGACAAAGCGTTGATGATTGTTTGCAAGCAAAACTGAGCGGTGGACACGCAGTCCTCGTGTTTCTGGTCGAGAACTCTCATGAACCAGGGCACGCCCAGTTCCGTGAGAACGCCTTTTGTACGCTCTACGCTATTTTCGCAAAGAGCAGCCACCACGCGCACCATGTTCACATAGATGTCCTGGTCCTTTTCCACCTTGGTAAGCGAGGCCACTTTGGTGATGCAGTGCTCCTTGTACAGGAGTTCGGCGCCAGTCTGCTCCTTGGCCAAAACAACTAGGTTGTTCGCGGCGGCGCGACGCTTATCGATGGGCGTGGCCAGATCAAAGGTAAGGTCCATCATCTGCTTTACTTTCGAGGAGGTCTTAGCATTGCGGGCCATCCTTTCCTCCACGATGACATGCAGCCTCTTGAGCATGGGCTGTACGGTTTTGTTGCTGGGATCCGCCTTGAACAAAGCGGTGGCATCTTTGTAGGCCTCCTCGAACTTCTCCAGAGCCTCGTAGGCCTGCGCCCTGCGGAACAGAGCCTTGGGATCTGCCGGACCCACTTTCAATGATTCCGTGCAGTCCTCCACGGCGTTCTCATACTGTTCCAGCTTCAGATAGGCAGCCGCACGATTCTTATAGAAAACCGGCAGCTCCTTGTGCTTGGAGCCCAACTTTATGGCTGTGCTATAGTGCTGCACTGCCTCCTCCCAGCGGGAGGCTTTGAAGGCCTCGTTGCCCTTATCTTTGTAGCTCCCCGCATCGGAGACTTCTTCGCTGATGATGGTATTCGTCATGGTTACACAATTTTCTCTATTAAAATACACAAACTTTAGCTGCAACTTCTAACTGATCGCAGATGACTCACTATACTGGTCGCTTTTCTGCCTTCTGGCCTAAATTTCTATTGCCAGAAACTTCTCGATCGATCTCGAAGACGCACAGATACAGATGCAGATGGATAGCGGGAAAATCAAGCACGCTGTGTGAGAAAACTCAACCGGCTGCTGCGCTGTTCTATATATAAATAAGTTCGGAGAAGAATAAAACCAAAATAGTTGCAACAGTTGCCATTCGCAGCGAAGCGGGCTCACAGCTGATAGAATCAGTGGTAAAGCTTGTGGCTAGTTTAAAGCTAGAAAAAGCTATAGCCTAATATTTTAAAAAATGATGTATTTGGCAAACAGATTTTTATATTATTCTTGGACGTTGTCGTATGTTTATTTAAAAAAAAAAAATAACATTTTAGATTGACCCATACACTCATGTTTCTAGCTGCTTTCAGCTTTTTATTCCCAGCACCACTGGTTCCGACTCCCCTCGGTCTATCGATAACAGCGCAGGCGAGGGTGAACAAGTTCAAGTTCAAACAGCTGATCCGATTTGTTGTGGATTTTCATGTGATATAACGAAGTAAAAACATTAGAAACGGGCAAAAGGACTCACCCAGGATGTTCCAGCACGGCCCCATGCTGTGGCGACCACTGCTCGTTCTGCGCCAGCTGCACCTGAGTCAGCGGCATCAGATCAGTCACTACGATGCCCTCGGAATCGGTCGCAGTTGCACCCAGAACGAGATTAAGGCAGCCTACTACAAACTCTCGATGCTCTACCATCCGGACAGGAATCAGGGCAGCGAGTCCGCCGCCAAGAAGTTCCGGGAGATCAACCAGGCATACGAGATCCTCGGAAACTACCGGCTTCGTCGCCTTTACGACAAGGGGATTGTACACACAGCGGGCGCCCAATATGCCCAGGATGTCCAAGATGTGGCGGAACCCGTGGTAGAGGACGATCCGGAAACGAAGTTCTACAAGTCGCGTTTTCAGAAATCCCGTGTAGCCGACTCGGAGGGCCGTACGCCCATCTACGACTTTGACGAGTGGTCGCGAAATCACTACGGCAAATCTTTCGACCGGCGACAGGCCGCCCAGGCCAAGTATGATCGAATAAGGGTGCAAAAGGAGACCAACAAGATGTCTGGTCAGACAGACATGGTACTGCTATCCTTCCTGTTCTTTGGAGTGGCCGTTTACCTAATGTTTCTCGCCGAAAGCTCCTATGACACGCCCAAACAGAGGGCGGAGGAGCGGCACAGACGGGAACGGGAAGAGCGAGAGCAACAGGTGGCCGTGAAGGAATCGTAGAATTCTCTAGTCCACAGTGTAAATAGAGTTAAGTTTAATCAATTAAATCGGAAGGCTATTTTTGTGAATAAGAGATTTGAACGCTTTTCTTTGAGAACGTAGTGACTATTAACATTTACGAGATAGAAGAATCACCAATCGCTAAGAAATAACCATTGCCTTGTGATTTTAACTTCTTAAACTTTAATCAAAATTTCCCAGTGCGCTTGCGCGCTGTGTACTTTGTATCAGGACGAGTTTCCAATCCCTGGCGGCGTCGGCGTTCCTTCTTGGCCAGAATCCAATCTCGGGATTTTTTCGGAGCCTTTCCACGTGCCTCACGGCAGGCATCACGTTTCTTGATGTAGTTAACACGACGTTCTTCCTCGGGAGAACCTTTAAACAAAGTAAGGAAAAGGTAGTGTTTGATAGGGGAATAGTTACTTTAGAATTGAATAAGAGACCCACCCAAAGCCTTTGGCAGCTCAGCCGATCCTCCAGTCATCAGCACCAGGTAGTACTTCTTTGCCTTGGCAGAGTTGGGATAGTCAACCACTAATCCTCCGTAGAAACCCGCCTTCATGGCCTGCGAGGTGACCATCTCAATCTGATCGGAGTTCTCCGGGTAAAATTGAAAGACGGCGCGGGCGGTACGTGTCAGACAGGAAAACAAGGTGGTGTAGAACTTCAGCAGGCGCTTGTGCGGATTGTGATACGACTTGTCCGCGTTGCAGAGCCACTGGAGGGCAGAGATCGAGATGGCGCCATCGAAGGTGCCCGGCTTGAAGGGCAGGCCCTCGCCCATGTCTCCCAAGATCACATCCCCAGCCACCTCTCGTTCCACCGCTATATCCAGCATGGACTTGGATATATCTACGCCGATCCACATGTGTTCGCTGTCCTCCAGAACGCTTCCCGAGAGGCCAGAGCCACAGCCAATATCCAAAATCAGGCGGGATTCATCATCGTCCGGAAAGGCCAGCAGTTCCAAGGCTCGCTCGGCCATTTCCACTTGGATCTCAATGATGCGGGTGCTAAAAATGTATAATTGTACTAAGTACTATATTTTTAAGAACAAAAAACTCACTTTGTGGAATATTTCTTGGCCTCGTCATCGTTGTAGAACTGAAAGAGTACGAATTTAGATAGAACGTTCATTTTACCAACCACATACTTACAATTTCTGGAGGTGCTGAATGCTCTGGTCTTCTGGCCATTTTCTCTGTATTTCTCAAAAATTACTAAACTAAAAATTCGATGCGTTTTTATATAAACAAAAAAAAACTCAACTACACGTGCAATCAGCAAACAGCTGTTTGCCATTCACAGCGCAACGTTGATTTGTCGACTCGACTATCGCTATCGGCCGAGCTATCGAGCTAGACTAGCTTTTTTCTTGTGAATCGCAGCGCCGTGAAAATTCGTGAAAAATTCAATTTTTCATTTAAACTAAAAGCAATAATCATGTGAAGTGTGTGATTTAAAGTGTAAACTTGTCAGTGCACCAAGTGAAACGGTGAGTTGAGCCTGAAAGCTCGCCCGAATTGATGACAAAGCTAGCATTTGCATGGAGCTGTTTTGGGTGTGGGAGTGTGCCTGTGAAAATGGTGACCTGCGTGTGTGTGTGCAACGGTTCTGACGCGTCAACAAATAGACAGTTTTAAGTGCTAATTGGCCCGCCGCTGTTTGTTGTTGTTCGGGCGGAAATGGAATGGAAATGCAAAAAGTTCAGGTGTGCGCGTGAGACACCTTTATGTCTGTGCTAAAAAACTAGTGGCACAATTTGCGTAGGCAACCCGTTATGCTGACCCGTTTACCTTGTTCCAATTTGCTCGAAAAAAGCGAAAACTCATCTAGCCAGAAAACACAATAACGGCAACAACAACAGGTTAATTCTTCTCTCACAGGTAGAACAAGTTAATTGAATCCCATACTGTTTCTTGAACAGCTGTTTTCAGGAGTAAGAGAGAGAGTTCGCTCTCTCCTGATCGTCAGTGGCTGTAAAAATGTATTGCAGTCTAGTGCATTTAAAACTGAATCAAAACTTGCATTTCATTTGATATAAAGTTCCTTTGTACTTTGCCCAAATAAATAAAGCACCCAAATTCAGGTTTATTTGAGGCACGCCGGTCTTCTGCCCGTGCTTGTGTACTTTTTGCATATTTATGAGCAAACTGGTTCTTCTTTTTGGCAACGGAACATCTTTCACTCTTTCCAAGAACAACATTCCCTGCGCCGATCGCCGATGGTTACAAAATTTACGCAACAAGCCGCGATTGCGGTCGCTGGCCTCTCCACTCGACAAGTTTGCCAAAACCCCCCAAAAAAGCAGGTGAAAAGACGAAATCAATCACCGAAGCTTTTAGTACCCTAGAATGAATGATTGTATCTATGACATTATCTATCTACTTGATCTAGTCAATTGCTACATATAATTGAATTTGTCCTATAGCAGAAAAACCGCGAGTACCGTTTTATATGTTTGGAACAAATCTTCCAAACTTGAAATATTTAACTAAAAATTTCACACTTCCTAAATTTTGAAACTGGTTTTTTTGACTTTTTTAAAAACACAAATCTTTTGAAGGACCAGAATTATACAAACTGATCTTTTTAAAGGACACTGTCTATATAAATATCTCAGTATTAGCCAATCTGTAGATCAACCTTTGTACTATAGGCCCTATAACAAGTTATGCAAGTTAGGAACCTGTCGACTGCTGACTATACCTTTGAACGATCGAAGCATCCTCAATTGACCATACCCCCTGATAGAGTACAAACTACAACCGAACCCGCTGTCATCCATTTTGGAAACCAGATACAGATACGGTGACAAAGACAGATACAGAACCAACTACAGATGCTCGCTGGCTGCTGGGAAGAGTGGCTTCAGTTGCGTGCCTCCATTCCCCCAGAGCAAACCGTTCCCGCCGGAAGAAAGTAAGACAAGCAAGAAATGCGCAGTGGGTTAACGCTTTGTCCACTGCTGGTGGTGCTTCTAGTGGGCCACCAAGTGGCTCCAGTGGCGCCGGCCAACCTACTGACCAGCTACCTGCCCGCCTCCATGCAGGCCTTGGCATACTACATAGACCTGCTCCAGTATGAGCCACTCTCCAGCACGACAGTGGAACCGCCCTTCAGTGCGGATGACGCAGTGGACTCCACAACGGCTAGTGCGCGGCCATCCACACCAGTGCCCACGAGGATGAGGACCACCACCACGAGGAGGCCTGGTGGAACAGGAGCGTTGGGTTCAGTCTGGTGGCAACCGCCAAGCTGGTGGGAAACGAGTTCGCCGCCGCCTGTCACTACGAAATCCACAACAGCTAGTGCTCGGCCATCCACACCGTTGCCCACGAGGATGAGCACCACCACCACCACGAGGAGGCCTGGTGGAACAGGAGCATTGGGTTCAGTCTGGTGGCAAGCTCCAAGCTGGTGGGAATCGAGTTCGCAGCCGCCTCTCAGTACGGAATCCACAACAGCTAGTGCGCCACCATCCACACCAGTGCCCACGAGGATGAGCACCACCACTACCACGAGAAGGCCCAATGGAACAGGAGCTATGGGTTCAGGCTGGCAACCGCCAAGCTGGTGGCTGCCTCCACAGAGAACTTCCAGCACCGAGAGGCCCTCATCGCCACCCACTTTGCCTCATCGCCCTGGAATTTTTGCACCAGCTTCCCTTCCGAGGAGGGAGCTTGAAGGCTACACTCTCTTTGAAGAAATCGGAGACGATGCGGACTTTGACAAGCTGCCTTTGTCTTTGATCCGTGATATACAAAGCGAACGGCACGACTTTACCAATGATGTGGAATCGCTGGATAACTTTTTGCGCCTGTACGACGATAACTACGGAAGGGCCGCCTTTGACGTTGAGTCCGCCATGGATCGGTGGAGCACCGCCTCGATAGCGGGCAAAAAGAGGGTTCCGCCCACCAAGCCCTACGTGGATTTCCTTTTGGTATACGATCTCCTGAAGCGCGATGCCAAGGCGGCAAATCTCAGCAAGTACGAGGGATACTCCGAGGATCTGTTGGAGCAGCTGCACGAGTTGTCCCAGGCTTCTTCGGCCAGGCAACTGCACACTCTCTTCCAAAGGATGCTGGATCGGGGCGATGTCCAGCGCAGTGACGTGGTGTCCCGCGTCCAGGGTATCGTCAAAGATCTGGGGAATCCCAAAAGCGCCACCTCCAAGGCTTTGGCTTTCATTCCCAGCATGCAGTTTCTACCTTAAGCTCTTAGATAAGTCGCAATAAAGTCGAGGGACCAGTTGACCCTATCCGTGTGTACTATGATTAATATGAAATCTTGATTCAGGGAAAATCCAATTGAGCCATTATTCTATAAAAACTTAGTAAGGAAAGAAAGTTCTCCTTAAGGACAGGTGTTATTACATTGTTACTATACATATGTACATTGATGAAGAGTATTAAAGTGTTGGTGTTAAGTTTGTATAGAAGTGATGGAGCCATTCAAGATCTATAAAATGTGTGTAAATAACAATGTCAATACATTTTGCCCAAGTCCTGTAGATGGCAAATTAACATCAGTTTCACAAAGTTAAAAAATTACAAAACCACATTTTAAAGCGACTATATTTTATAGCTTTTATAACGACTTGGTTCAACTCGTTATTTGTAGGCAATTTTCCATAATACAAACAGCATATGGGACTAAAGAGCTTGCAGTGAGTCATTTCTTGATATGTATATACAGAAGTATTCATGCATATATTTGATTTGCTGTTGGTAACTTATATTATAGCAGCAGATAATTAAATAATTCTCTATTACTATTGGACCAAAATGACATCTATCTGAGCTGTTGCAATTTATATGAATTTAATACCGATTTATAGCAGTTTAGGGTGCTCTAAGTCAACCGCTTGGCAATCCCTTTGCCGCCGGAAGTGTCACGGAAAATGTCCTCATGGGACAAAGGAAACAGGACATTGGGCACAGGACACACCCTCGGTCCTGCTCCTGCCCCTCCCCCTCCCCATTAACACCATGTTGGCCAAGTGACTTAACTGACACATTGGCATAGTTCACATCGGTGTTAATGTGTTATCTATAACAGGTCAGCCGGCTGCAAATTGTTGCTGCTTCTGCCACAGTTTTTTTGTTGCTGCATCAGCTGCGATGCGACGTCATCACCTCTCTCTCTCTCTTCCACAAGGGGCTCTCTTGCTACCCACTTATGCTCTTTGTCCGTGCCACCCTCTCATTTTCGCTCTCGTTGACGCTTACGCTCTTTGCCACACGGTGGCAAGCGCTCTTTGATTTTATTTTGTTTTTGCCCTCTCTCACTTTTAAATTAACTCCTCTATCATACTATTAACTTAAATACCCTAACAGTTGCCTTTTTAACATTAAAAAATTGTAAATGTTAATATTGAGGTATCATAAACCAAGTTAAAGTTTTTTAGTTCAATTTATTGATAAAATTGTCTGGCTTATGACCGGAAAACAAACTTACAAAGTCGTTCGTAAAGAAAAAAAATGTGTATCATATGTTTATGTTATTAAATTTTATTTTTATTTTGAGTGCGATATTGGTGAGTCACAATATTTTGTATATTTCTTAATTTTTCAAAGGAGTATTTTGTAGTGTTACCGCTAAAACTTCAATAATTCAAAAAAAGTTATCTTAAAATTATGAAGTTTTTTCAACTTAGAAAATAGTTTGTGAGTATAGATGGATAGATGGTAAACAGACTCGCCTAATAATAACATGCTCCGCGAATCCACCTTCACTGCGTTGCGAACTTTGGGTCAAGGGTACTATACCCTCTGGAAAGGGTATTAAAAGAGCGCGCTTGCCATTCGGTGGGTTGCTTTTCGCCAGCGCTCTTTGATTTCATTTTGTTTTTGTGCTCGGTGCGCGTAGCAAGTGTAAGCGGCTCTTGCTCTGCATCTTCTAATAGTTCCGCCTGTAATCCCCTCAAATTCGGTTTTATTTTTCGCAATCTACGCCACATCAAGTGTTAAATTATTGAAGAACTAACTGTCCAATTGAAGTTGAAAGCAAAAAAACATATCCATTTGGAGCAGCGAAAAACTTGGCACAAAGTGCCCTGGTGGAAAAGTTATCGATTTGTGTGAAAGTTGCAGGCTGCTGCAGATTGGCGAAAGAAAAGGCAAAGAAAGTTTTCTGGAAATGTGAAGACACAACAAATCACAACAATGGAAAACTTAAATTTTGCACGCACGCCGCAATTTCTGCGCAAAGTTATCTCCGAGGCGCGCAGGTAAATGCAGAAAGAAACAAAAACAACCAAAAAGGGGTGGTAAAGAGGGGGTGGGAGGGCTAAAGTCAACCCACCACCGAAGGAAAGCACCACCCACCGGCGAACGGGTCACCCTAATATTCCGTATTCCACGGGACAAGTCTAGCCGGGATTTGAATTGCGGCTGGTTCTTGGACTCTTGTTTCTAGTTTGTTGCACCTTACAGGTTTTACTTGTTTTCCTTTGGTGGGCCGGAAAAGTGGGCGGGAGGGGTGCGGTGCAGCAGCCCGGCAACGTCTTATGTAACTCGAGCCTGCAGACGTCAATGGTTCGGGGTCCTCACGCCAGAGGATTATTATTCCTTATATGTATGCATGCACAGCTGCGGTCAACAAAATAGAACTGACGACGGGTATCCCAGATAGTAAAATAAACCAAATTAGGCTTCACTCATTTTTTGACCATCTCATTAAAACATTTTATGATTTAGTATCCTTTTTTCCATCATAATTTAGATATGAAATAATAACAAATAATAATATACAAATTTGAAGTCCTTTTAAGTTTAAAAAAAGTTTACTTTAAAAAAAAATTTTTATTTATTTTCTTAAATGGTTTTTAATAATTATTGACATAAATGTTCAGACAAATAAAAAAAAGTTTATCAAAACAATACGAGTATTAAATAAAATATCATCAATGCAATTGTTTATTGCTAATACTTCGACTGATATTGTATGCAGTATGAAAATATGTACTCTGTGCAACATGCCACACACGCCACTCGTGGTACAAACCGCAAACAAAGGTAAAAGACAACAATGAAACAGAAGAAAGGAGCTGCAACGAACCGAAACCCCTTGGCGTCTAGAACCCCTAAGTCAGGGATCCCTTAAAAAGCCCGACAATTAGTCATAGGAAATTGCACATACTCTTGAAAAAAGGGTCTCCACTAGAATGAAATCATCACACAGAAAATTCGAATAATCTATATTGTAATTGTACCCATTTGCGATACTTAAACTACTTGTACTAGTAGTGATAATAATTTATTATTATGTTGAACTACCAAATAAGCATCATCATGCTTTCTTATCAAATTATCCAATATGTATTTAATAAAGTGTACTTATAGTATGTACTGTAAGATCTGGATTACTTTCAACTGCATAGTGTTGAATGGTACTTAAAAAGATAATTAAAATAATGGAACTTAAAAGAAATTATGATGCAATCCCGTGTGTTCGTGTGTTCCTGCAAGCGGCCTTCCCAAGCCCCTTGGTGCAACAACGCCCCAGGCCATTAAAATTGTAGCTCACCTCCCACACGTCCTTTCCATTGTCTTTGACTCGGCAACCCCATTACCCATTGCCGGCGGATATAATTTCGCACATCACACACAAGTGACGAGGACACAAGCGGGTACCCCTTAGGCCCCTTCGATTTTCCCAAGGAAAAGTCTTTGTTTCGGATTAATAATTTGGCTCCTCTTGACTTTGCCGCCATCTGTGTCAATGGGCGCTGCTATCGAGCCCAAGGCGACAGCTCTTTCCCGCACTTATCAAAGCTGAATGAATGTGAGTGGGTGTGTGGATAAAACAAGAAAATAGGGCGGGTGTGGGTGGGTGGATTTCCTAGTGCGAATGGTGCAGCTTCCGTTTGAAGCGTGCCAGCGTATCGATATATTTGAATATGTTTTTGGCTTCCATTCGGTAAAATAATCATCACCGTCATCATCGCTGTATATATAGATTGAGTGATGCATACTTTTCCTCACAATACAACGGCATCCCCACCTCGATATCCCCCATTCGTTCTACTTATTCCGTAAAGTGATTGTTATACTTATTACTTTTAAGCTTCTGGGGCATATTTGCTTTGAGAAATATTTGGGTCACTTGATATACTACTCCTAGCGTTGCCTCTTTTTAAACATTTTTAACTTAAGTAAATGTATCGGGTACAGTATATCGGGAAACAAAATCTATAAATACATCTATTCTATTAATATTAAATGTATTATCAAAAGTCTGAAGTTAAATGCTACTTATGACCACATCAAATGTTGCTCTGTTTTAAACGAATAATTACAAATTTAACAAATAAACTAGTCTAATCAGAAATTAAGTTACAAAATGCTAATTAAAAATGCTACTATTTTAATACTTCTGCATCGAACTCTATTGATTCTCTAATAGAACTCTATTATGAAATGCTGTTAATATAATTTTAAAACAAAGACTGAAATGTGATCAACAATTTTAATCGAAAATGCAGCTGTCGGTATTAGTAGAGTGAAATGGCAAGGTCAAAGTCTCTCCACGAACAGTCCCAAACACACTCTTCAACCATATGTTGAGTTTAATTGATGATACATTCCGCAATTTATTTTGTTATTTTCCCGCTCGCTTTGCAGATCGTTTATAAACAGCGACCCATTTGCCGCCTCATCCGTAAGGGGACGTTCCGAAGCCGAGGAGGAGGCATCATCCGAGATGGAGCTCGCCCACACTTTGACCCTTAATGAAGAGGCTCTCAAGCAGTTGCCCGAGCACAAGCGGCCGGTATTCGAGCTGGAATGGCTGCGCTACTTGGAGAAGGCGCTGCCTCTGGCCTCCAAGCCGGACATCAAGGCCAGCCAGAAGAAGCTGGTGCAGCAGCTCTCGGAACGCATCCAGGGTGCCCCGGGTCCGCCCATTCGCAAGCTCATCGCCAGCGCCTTGGCCACGCTCTTCTCCGTTGGCGACACCTTCATGCTCTTTGACACCGTCAACGCCTGTAACGACATCCTCAAGAACAAAGATGACTCGCCCAGCTATTTGCCCACCAAGCTGTGAGTAAATCGTGATAAATGTATCTATAAACCTAAACACAAATCTCTATCTTTTAGCGCCGCCATTTGCGTCTTGGGCTCAATGTACGAAAAGCTGGGTCGGATGATGGGCCGCACCTACGAGGACACGGTACAGATCCTCATTCGCACCCTGCGCAACGCGGAGTCTCAGGCACGCATCGAGATCATGCACACGCTGGAGAAGGTGAGCGCTGGCATGGGCACCGCCATTG